CGATTTAAATAGTTGGAGATGCTTAACGTCAAATATCAGACTTAAAGTGGACATTTTATGCGATAGATGAGGAGATGAAGGTATAGAATTGAGTACGGTAGTGTGAAAATTGTATAAAGAACGTAGAAGTAGAAAGCGAGCAAAGGACATTTTTTAGGAAGTTACGAATCAGGTATAGCAATCAGGTAGATGCTTACGTCAGATGGCGATTTGAGTGTGAAACAATTGATAGAACTGTTTCCGCACATCGGAGGTACATGAGCAAATCGGCGATCATCCCTTTTGCCAGTGTGGCGGAGTGAAACACCCCTCATTATCCCTCATCAACGGATGAGTTTGGTAAAAGGGATGCTCTACCCGATTCGTACCTTCCTCAAAAAATTTTTAAGCTCGCTTTTTTACTTTCTATATACAATTTTTACACTGCCGTAGTACAACGCAACTATCAACTCTATACTTTATTAAAATTTCTTCGTTCAGCATCTCCAACTACGAAAATAATCTATTTCCAAGAATGTTGTCCATTGTTGTGCAAAGAATTTCCAGAATGCAATATTGTTTTTGTTAAGCAAAGTTTTAGAGGAGTGGAATAATTCTAAAAAAGTTCTTGAGATCATTCTGAAATTTTTTTTTTTGAAATATTCTTAGCGAATTATCAAAGTTATATCAAAATTTTAAAGATTTCCATGGCAGAATCCAATTCAAGATCTTCGATAAATAATGCTGTAGTTGTAATGATCTATTTAACCCTATTTGACAGTAACATTTAAAAAAATCTTTGGGAAAATCCGGAAATTGCACTTCAAATGCTCTTAATAGGAGATTCCGTTGAGAGTTTCGATATAATTAGAGGAATTCATGAAATGTCATTTTAAGTTCCATGACAAAAACAGTTTATTTCAATATTAAACCTTATTTGAGTTTCTGAGTCATCATATAAATATAACTATTGGATACTTATTTATAATTCAAAAGCACTATTTGGTCACTACTTTCGTAATTTTAGTCACTAAAGTCACTACTATTATATCGCATCAGCGCTACCAGCCCTGGTAATGGCGCTATAGCCATAAGTCATAAAAGGCTGTAACAAGAGTAAGTACTCATGCCTAAACCGTCAGAAGAAGCATCACTTAACCTTTCTAGCTTTGATGCTTCCAATGACCAACCAATCATATAATTACCAAAATCGGAACGCACGGTACGAGATGTCCACGTTTCATCCATTTATTGGATTCTGAAGTATCGTGTTTAAATCTTCGATTTAAACAGGCCCGATGTTTTCTGAATCATCTTTCACTTAAACTCTGCACAGTAGGCCTGGCCGTTTTGATATGTGTGACACATCTTCGATGTCAAACATATATCAAATCAAGACCAACAATTGAAAGGGCCTTAACTCAATTTTGTAAACAAACCTTGTAAGGCCATTTTCTCGCAAACCGAAACCTTCATTCGCAAACCTAAACCACAATCGGGTAGAGGAGAATTTCCCCTACCTGTTCAATATGTTGGTTTGCCTTTGCGGACTTCGGTTCGCGAGAAAATGGCCTTACAAGGTTTGTTTAGAAAATGGAGTTAAGGCCATTCCAATTGTTGGTCTTGAAATATACAAGAAAAATGATATAGGTATATACATCATTTTCCAGGATGCTTTCAAGAACTGGCTGTGATGGTGTTAGATTAGATTAGATTACAGAATCTGTTTACGCGAAGACTATCGTTCTTATCGTGCCAGCAAGCAGCCAAACCGGACACTGAAATAGAACCGAACGGTCAAATCACGCGCTCGGAAGTTATATAGAGAGGTTCTCACAAGGGTGCATCAGTAACGACGGAACTTATGTAAAGATGAACTTTGCGCAGCTTCCCGGGCGAAAGTTTTATGTGGCCACGGCTCAAGGAGATTACTCCAACGAATATAAATTAGGTTTTGCTGATAAGTTCGCTGGAAAATTTCTGATTTGGTAAGCGGTTTGCATGTTTGAACTCGAAGTTCTACAAGGAAGAGTGCCTTAGAAACGCATTTTACCATTCATCAAAGCACACAAAGGCCCTGTAAAGTTTTGGCCAGATTTGGCTAGCTGCCACTACAGTCGAAAGACACTTCAGTGGTATCGTGACAACAGGGTGGATTTCATCCAAAAAGACCTCAACTACCCCAATTGCTCTCAAGTTCGCCCAATCGAAAAGTATTGGCCAATTATTATGCGGAAGCTGACAAAGACTGGAAAAGTGATTGTGGAATAAAATGACCGCTCAAGTTGACGAATAGATGATGTTCGTCATTTCATGAATTGATTAACTCTCACCCCAGCAGCCTGGGTTCAATCTCATTCGCCGCCTGGATGTTCTGAGGCATAACATCTGTTTGGGTATTAGCGATCTGTACTTTTGCGGATTTAAAGCTTGGACTGCCTTTCGGAAATCGAAAATATACTTATTTTTTTTTACTACGATTTCAAAAACACGTTTATTCTTCTCGACGAATGAAACAAACTAAATTCACTTGACATTTCAAATTGTTTTCCCGGAAATAGAAAATTGGTTCAACCCGAAGGTAAAAATACGGCGCTCGCAAAGTCGGGGGGTGCTTCGATACTGGAACCACCACCCCTATTCTGTATTTAGTTTCGAACGAAATTCTCATACAAAAAAATATTTTTTTGTATGAGAATTTCGTTCGAAACGAAATACAGAATAGGGGTGAACATCTCTGATCACGCCTTCGGGTGTGAAGCCGGTTCATACTATTAATACAAGCTCATAAGTACACACTTTAAAACAAAAATACTTGACATATACCCATTTTACCCATTGAGAATTGCATATTTGCGAAATATGTGACAGTTATTCTGAATCACCCTGTAATTAACTTTATGAAGAAGTTAAAAATTTCTAAGTACCTTAGAAAACCTAGATCTAGAGATCTTTGAGGAATTTCAGCAGAGATGTTAACGGCAGCTCCCGTAACTTTATTCCAGACTTTTGGAGCGATTTAAAGATCTATTAGCGTAAGTTTTAAAAAATTCAGGATCAGTTTAGTTCCATGACGTTTACAGTACAGTTTCTGGGAACGTTTAAAGGTGTTTACGAAAATTTCATTTATTTCAGAGCAGAGATCTTCAATAGAATTGAGAGTTTCAGGGAAGCTCCGAGAACATCAAGACAGTTCAAAGAATCAAAGGGCAGTTCCAGTAATTTAAAGGAAATTGCAGAAACCTTAAAGAAGTTTCGATAAACTTAGGGAATTTCCGGAAACTTCAGCAAAGCTCCGAGAGAATTTCTGGAACGCAATAAAAATTAAATGGACATCCGGAAAATGCGAGAGTAGGGGAAATGGCTCTAATGTTGGCCAATGGATCTAATATTGGGCCCATCGCTAAAAATCTGCTATTTATCAATTGTATCTAGATGAAACCGTCATTGGGACGGTCCTGATGGATATTATTGGTTGTTATTGAAAATTTAGTCGATTGCTGAATGTATGTATGGGCCCAAATTAGGGACACTTAGACCGACATTACATACATTTCCCCTATTTAAGGGGTGTTAATTCAGAATAAATAACAAACATCAACGAACTTCCATTAGTTAAAAAAAAATGCGAAAACTTTTAGCAAGCACCGATATCTTCAAGAAATTTCAAAGAACTTCTGAAACTTTTTAAATATTTTTAGATAGTTTCATGATATTTAGCTGAGTTCACAAGCTTCAGGGATGTTCAAATAAGTTTAGAGAAAATTAGTGGTTTAATGCAAAGTGTTAGTTTTTAAAGTTTATAAAAACATCAAGGTAATTCAATTCATTTCAGTAAATTTTCAAATTACTATAAAAAAAATACTGAGAAAGTCAGGGCAGTCTATATAACTTCATAATTCTTCAATTGACAAACATTGGCGCAGTTTTAATAACATCAGAAAAGTCTAGACAATTTAAGAAGTTATGAATAAGTGTCGATAATTTAAGGGCAGTTCCAAGAACTGCAGAAAAATCTTAAGATCCTAATCATAGAATTATATTAATTTTTTCGTTTTGATTCCAAGAAAATTGCGGGACCTTGAAGTAGTTCCAGAAATTTCAGAAAAACTTCGAAAACTTTACAGAAGTTCAGAGATCTTCAGAAACATTTCGAGAATTTCACAGAAGTCTATGGGACTTAAGGGAAGATCCGAGAACTTTTTTTTTAGATTTTGTTTTCTTGCCACAAAAACAGCGCCCACTCTTTCGTGTCTTCCTTGTCACTGCGACCGCGTCTACGGCCACAGCCGCGACCTCGGCCTCCACGACCGCCGCCGCGTCAACTTTCATGAGCAGTAGCAAAATGAGGGAGCATTTCAAAATAGTTTAGTAAGCTCCAACAATAGGAAGAATTTCAGGGGGAATTTAATTTAATTTGTTTCAGAAAATTAGCGGAAAAGGAAATTCCCTGATTTTCAGAGAACTTCAGAATTGTAAAGACAATTAGTAAGGTCTTCCCATATGATCCGAAGTTTTTTTTTGTTTATTTGTTTGCCGTCGGTCTTGTTGTCCGTACTGAGTACCAATGCTACCGTCGCCAGGGAGGCAGCTCCCACAACTGGACCCCTATCGACCCATCAATTTTTGGACTGGGGACCAACGGCTTTACTTTCCTTCCTAAGGAAGGTGTGATCAGAAATTTTACACCTCAGAAAATTCCGACGGCGCCGACAAGATCAGAAGTTCACGGAAGCTTAAATATTTTTTAGCTCAGTTCAATTAAATTCAGGGCAGTGCAACATCCTTCATGCAAATCGAGATTTTCAGAATAGCGGGAAGTTTAAAACTTTTATGAGAATCATTGTGAGCATCAGGCTAGCTTCTCTCTGTGTGTAGGCGAGCCACCAGTTACGACAAATCGACGATCAAATGCATTGTTTACAAAACTGATACGTCTCTTCGAAAAAGTAATCTAGAAATATAGATTTCTAAAAGTAGGTAATGTAAAATTAATGTTTTTTTTTTGTTACAAATTTCAGATCAACGACTAGAGCTGTGCAAAGCCTCACACGATGATCCGGATCCGGTCAAGGGACAGATCATCGTATCGCTCATGTCCCGAGACGGTACCACCGGCGGTACCCCGCTGGCAATCGTTGGTCCAGCAGGTGACGTACGAGGGCCAGACGACGACGAGGAAATTCTGAACGATGAACTACCCGCTGGTTGGGAGGAACGTCTTACGCAGAATGGTCGGGTGTATTACGTAAACCATGTCATCAAAACGACGCAATGGAACCGACCAACGGAACCGGCCGGTTCGCTACCACCGGCCTTAAGCAATGGTAGCAGTAATAACAGTAGTGCCGACTCGATACCACCGGGACCATCGAAATCGGCTACCAACAATAGTATCAATAGTATTCAATCCAGTGACTCCAGCAGCCGAAGGCACTCGACGGAGATAATGCTCAACAACTCTAATAACAAGGAAAATTGTAATGTAGGCAAGGATAGACCGAAGGATATGGAAAATGGTGGTACGGGTGTAACAAATGGTGGAGTCATTGGGCCGGGTAATGGCGGAGGTGGAGGTGGTCGGCATGACGCAAAAAGCCCTGCTCGGATACGAGACGAGAGTATGCTCATAACACCTAGCTCTAGTACCAGCCCTCTAAGTGAAATAAACAGTCCAGTAACACCGAAATCAACCACAGAATTGTCCTCGCCGAGAAATTCGGGGGCTACGAGGTATGTTTCTTAATAATCATTATTTCTCTACTCATGTTTCACATCAGATTTTTCTCATTACAGGGATCCACAGTTGCTATCAGGACTGCCAAATGCAATAGGTTCACTGTCAATTGATCCGTCCGCTGCGCGATCGCCCCAATCAAACGGCATTATTCCAAATGCGCACAGCACACCAACATCTACCAACAGTAATAGCAACAACGCTAGTAGCAATAATAGCAATATTGCAAATGTCTCGGCTAGCGTTGGGGGAAACTTCCCTGTGTTAAATAATTCCAGTACCAACAATGCTAGTCTATTGAATGGCACGGCAGCCAGTAACAATAGCTCCGGCACTGGTGGCAACAACACACCGACGCATGGCGTCAACAGTTCCATCAGAGATAATACCAACGGCACTAGTAATGTCACTTCGGTGCAGCAACAGCAACAAGTGCCTTCATTTCTGCCAGCACCAGGTAATCAACACAACGGTAACAGTCGAACAGGGGAGGGACATCAGATGGAATCGCCATCGGGCCCCGGTAGGTCTCAGCCTCAACCTCAACAGCCAGCTCCCAATAGCACAAGTGAAGGAAGTCGGGAACCATCGGCACAGAGGACCCGCCGCCCTTCACGGAATATGGACGAATCATCCTCACGTAGACGGTCATCTCGAACGGCACGACCACCGCTGGTAATGCCACCGCAGTGTCGTGGGAGCGCTCCGGTGATACGACCAGCCGTTGATCTACCTCCTGGTTACGGTAAGCTAAATTAAATATTGTAATGTTTGTTTTGTGTACGAATTTGCCTCTGTTTAGTAGAAATGCGAACCACCCAGCAAGGGCAGGTGTATTTTTATCACATACCAACCAAAATGTCCACTTGGCACGACCCACGGATACCACGAGATTTCGATACGCAAAACATCGCACCGGAAACGTTAGGCCCACTGCCGCATGGTTGGGAACAAAGGAAAACCGCATCTGGTCGGGTGTACTTTGTTGATCATAACAACCGAACCACCCAATTTACCGATCCTCGCCTCAACGGACACATCCTACAGATAATTCGGAAGCAAGCACAACCCCCTGTTGGGCAAAGCGCTCCTAGTGGAGCTGCCGCGAGCGGATGTTCTTCAGCGACTCCTGTTGCAGCAACTGCCGCAAGCTCTCTTTCCGGTGCCGGCCCACAGGTTTCGAATGGAGTACCACCAGCAGCTGTTCCCGGAAGCTCTCGGCTAATGATGGGACCGGAAGCTTCCACTTCCGGCAGTAATGGATTACCTGTGGTACGTTCCCTGAGTTAAAAAAAAAATGTCTACGGTTTTATCAATTTACTTGACTTACATTTACAGGACACAACACCTCACCGAACGCCGCCAAGTAACATTCCCGATCTACCGCAGGGGCTGCTGGACGGTGCCGAATCACTGCCTAAGTACCGGCGTGATCTGGTCGGGAAGATACGATCGCTACGCGTTGAACTGCAAGCGCTACAACCCCAATCAGGTCACTGCCGGCTTGAGGTGTCTCGACAGGAAATCTTTGAGGAGAGCTACAGGTTTGCTATACCTACCTTAACTTGAACCGGAAACGAATTTGAAAATATTTTGCAAATTTTCAGACTGATCATGAAAATGCGACCACGAGACATGCGGAAGAGGTTAATGGTCAAATTCAGAGGCGAAGAGGGTTTGGATTACGGCGGTGTGGCACGCGAGTGGCTTCATTTGCTATCACGAGAAATGCTGAATCCTCAGTACGGTTTATTCCAGTACAGTGGCGATGATAGGTACTCGTTGCAAATCAATCCTGATTCGGGTAAGCATCATTTGCAGCCTTTTTTTGTTATATGTTTTGGGATAGGTAATTGTGATTCATTTTCTTTATCACAGGAGTCAATCCGGATCACCTATCGTACTTCCACTTTGTGGGTCGGATTCTAGGAATTGCGGTGTTTCACAATCACGTACTAGATGGAGGCTTTACGCTGCCATTCTACAAGCAGCTGCTCAATAAACCAATCACACTGAATGATATCGAGGATGTCGACCCGGAACTGCACCGGAGTTTGACGTGGATGCTGTAAGTTTGCTTACTCCTACTGCCTATTGTTAAAATGATTAAGATTATGTTCGTAATTATATTTGTTTTCTGTTTTTAGAGAAAACAATATTAATGGGGTGATAGACTCGACATTCAGTGTTGAAAACAATAGCTTTGGAGCACTCAAAGTACACGAGCTCAAACCGAATGGGGCATCGATACAGGTTACCGAGGACAACAAACGGGAGTACGTGAAGCTGTACGTAAATTATCGATTCATGCGAGGGATCGAACAGCAATTTTTAGCTTTATCTAAAGGTGAGAGATCAGTTTTGATTTAGGTTGCTGCAATTTATCTAAAACACAACATTTTTATTTTTGATCAACAGGATTTGGTGAGCTGATACCGAGTCAACTCTTGCGGCCATTCGACGAACGGGAGCTAGAACTGGTCATCGGTGGTATCAGCAAGATTGACGTCAACGACTGGAAGACACACACGCGTTTGAAGCAGTGCACACAGGAGACGCCTCAGATCATCTGGTTCTGGCAGGTTAGTCTCTTCTTTCACCTAAACAAAATGTGCTCAATGGCATTTATAGGCAACGGGACAAATTTTAATTTCAAAATACTGTCAGTCTTGTTCAAATAATCGAGCCTTGCCAGTCTTGAAGTTTATATGGGAATTACTATGAGGAAAATGAACTTGTTGTTCTTCTAATCCTATCCGTTTGCCATAATATGCGAAATTGCGTTTTTCTATTATTACAATTTCAGAAGGTGGCATCAGCATTTGGCTCTGCTGACAGTTGTTAATATTTTGTTAGAAATTAAAGACTCTTAAACATTTCTAGATGCAACTCTGTTGAATACTCTCCGCAAATCGCGCCGTATGCTCCATAATTTGTGCGTCATAGAGCCGGCCTTAGCATTTGGCTGGGTTCACTATCATTCTGTTTAAACTGCACCAACTAGTGAATACATTAAGCTGACATTGCAGAAAGTGACAGTCAGCATTCGAGCAGTTTCGTTAGGAAGATGTTGAGGTCATCTGCATATGATAACCGAGGAGCTTCGATGACCAGATGCACGTCGTTGATGTACAGTTTAAAAATCAACGGTCCCAGGTAACTTCCCTGATGTATACCTGATATGGCGAAGAAGCTGATCTGCAATCTCCTATGGCAAAACCATTAGTTGGTGACTAGTGCGGTACGATCGAAACTAACTCAGAAGATTACCGCATACACCGAGCCTGCCGAGTTTAGCAATCGCAATACAATAGCATGGTTCAACTTGTGCTGCGGATAGGTCGGAACAAATAACGTCCGTTTGAACCCGATCCGACATGCTTTCGGTAATATACGATGTGAGACACAGGTGGTGGTTGAAGGGCGACCGGCAGGAAACCCATGTTGATTAGCTCACAAATATTGCTGGCAATGGGACAGCAACGGTTTCTTAATCACTAGCTCGAATAGCTTCGAAACCACACCTAACGATGTTATTCCTCGATAGTTATCCACAGCTCGTTTCATTCCCTTTTTTGTGGACGGGAAACATGTGCGCAAATTTCCAGTAGGATGGAAATATGCCACTGCAGAGAGACATGCGGAACAGACAATGAAGCGGGATTAACAAGCTAGCAATATGTCTCTTCAAAAATATAGGTGGAACTCAATCAGGTTCAGTATTGAAGGATGACTTGAGCAGAGTCGTGACCTTGGAAATCACCTCAGCGTTAACATCAATGGCACCCAGATTTCGAACGTTCCTGGCAGCCAGGGTAATATGGTCGTCACTTAGTATCTCATTACACTGGCAAACTTGCCGTTGAATTACATAGATAGGAGGCCGAACTCCCTGCGTTGCTCGTTCACGTAGTTCCAAAAGGATTTCGGTGTAGTTTAAGTTTGCACTGGATGTCTCGTTGGAAATTTGAAAAGCATTCACAACTGACTCGTTGGTACATGTGATTCAGCCTCACATAATGAAGTTTCATAGGAAGTCTGCGATAGTTCGTAAGTCTTCTCAGTGCTGCTCTCTTGATTGACTTCAACCTACGTACATAGCTCTCTCGTTTGCCAGGGAGGGCGAGAAACTTTGTAGTGAGTTCTTTTCGGAACGTGTCTGTCAATTTCAATGTCGTCATCAGGACCAAGAATGTTCTCCCACTCCATGCTAGACAATACATCTATGATGCTACCGTGGTCAGCTTTACGGAAGTCTTAAGAAACCACAGCAAGATAATCACCGAAATCATGCACGAGTTTGTCCTCAATAGTGACAATTAGAAGAGGGTGATGCGGAACTAGCTTAGTTACTGCACAAGGCACCGAGGAAATTAATGGAGCCCTGTCCTGAGTGCTCACGAAGCAGAGGTCCAAACTACGATTGTTTTCGTTAACTATATGGTTAATTTAAGAAAGCGTTACTGCGCTGTAGTTGTCGAGACGATCAATAGATCCTGCGTGAAAGGTAGAGCTATCAGGATCTGAATACAGGAATCCGCTATGAGATGGACTTCACGAAACGACAGGCAGGTTGACGTCACCCAAAATTAATATCTCATCAACTGGAGTGGCACTTTCGCTAACTCTGTGAAAACTGACCGACAGTGAGTATCGGTGAGTTCATGGTCCCGGACTCGATCAGGTGGAATGTACAGAGCGCATAGAAATAGTCTGCGATCACCCAGATTGATGGCTGTCCAAACCTGCTCCACATTGTTCCATGAGTCGTTCTAGATGGTCTTTGCCTCCAATCCGCCACGGACAGCTACAAGGACATCTTCACCAGAGGATTCCGATCGCTACGAGAACCTCGTAGTCAGGACCGAAGATTTAACTGGAAAGGTGCAACATCTATTATGAGACGCACATACCCATTTGGAGGTTAACTTTTGCAACAACTAACAACGTATAGCGTCAGGATCTCCTTTCAACTCAGGAATGTGCGAACTGGATGCTGAATTTATATTATGCCCAAAATCATCGAAATACCCTTTTATTTGAGTAATTTTAGCTCCACTTGCTAAAATGCAACATCAAGCATTGAGCAAGCAAAAGTTCGCAACTCTATTTAAAATTTGAAATGAACAACCATCCTCAAACTACACCGAGTTATTAAGTTGTTTGAAACTAGAGACGTCAGTCATGCTTATTAATAAGTAGTTTCTGTGGCTAAGAAATATTTCCCTGAATTGGAATGAAATTCCTTGAGGTTCCCTGACTGTACAGGTACAATATTCTTTGATTTTCTAGGTTTTTCAGGTAGTCAACACCCTGATTCAGCAGGAATGGTTTAATCACACTTTTATTTTGAATTGCATAGATCGTTTACAACTGATAGACCTTATTTTCTAATTCAGAAATTTTATAACAGTTTTGACATTTTGAGCTCGTCTAACATTTTTCGAATATTTGCCTAGAGAAAAGTATTTTGTTAGACCTACACTCCCGATCATAAGTTTAAGGACACCCCCAAAAAAACATGACAAATTTGTTATTGTTCCACGATAGCTCACTGGTTCAAAATACGATTTCGGAATGTGATGGTTTTCGCGAGAGAAACACTCGAATGCGTCCGTCGTATACAATGTTCAGTTTATTTCTGTTGTTCGTTTCGTACAGTGCTGCCAGTTTAATTTAGAGAATAAAATATGATTATTTTTAGTGGCAAATATTAATTAAAGAGGTTTCGTTATCTCACAACCGTTCATTCTCCCCCCGTTGAGGCCTGTGGCTCAACAGAAGGCAGCATAGCGATTTTAGTCACCGCCCGCTTGTACTCGCTCGTCGCCGTCCGGACCGTGACCACTCGAACGGCTCCGTCTTCACCAGGATGGGTCGCCACTATACGTCCTCGACGCCACTGCTGAGGAGGCAAGTTCTCGTCGACTAACAAGACCATCGCACCGACTTCAAACCGTCTCACACCATCGTGCCATTTCTGACGGCTTTGGAGATTGTGTAGATACTCCTTAGACCACCTACGCCAGAAGTGTTGCTGCATCAACTGGATATGTTGCCATCTGTTTAAGCGCCCGATCTTTTCGTCTTCGTATGATGGTTCCGGTAAGGCTACTGCTGACCTTCCAATTAAAAAATGTGACGGTGTAAGTACTGACATATCGCTTGGATCCTCCGACATCGCGAATAAGGGTCGCGAGTTGAGAATCGCCTCCGTGCGAGCAAGAAATGTATTCATCTCCTCCGTTGTCAATCTGGTTTCGCCAACAACTCGTTTCATGTGGTACTTCAGCGACTTAACTCCTGCTTCCCAGATCCCACCAAAGTGGGGACTTCTTGGCGGGATAAAATGCCAAGTAATTCCCTTCACCGAGCAGAATTCATCCCACTTTAGACGATGCTGTTGCTCCTCGAATAACCCTTTCAGCGCTGCGAGCTCGTGGTTCGCACCAACGAACGAAGTCCCGTTGTCGGAATACACATCGGACGGAAAGCCACGTCGACTAGCAAAACGATGCAAAGCAGCGATGAAATGGTCCGATGTCAGGTTTGACACTAATTCGAAATGAATCGCCTTCACAGCCATGCAGACAAAGACGACAACGTATCCCTTGAATGTCTTCGTGCTTCTTCCTTCTGGTTTCAGTTGGAACGGTCCAGCGTAGTCGATACCAACCCGTGAGAATACTGGAGCAGGATTAACGCGAGCCTCCGGAAGGCTACCCATGAACTGACTGCCGAGATTAGGTCGATGCTTCGCACAAATTTGGCATTGGAAAATGATTCGCTTGATGATTGATTTCGCCCGTAGGGGCCAATACCGTTCACGGACGATGGATAACAGTCCGCCTTGTCCCACATGCTGGTTTTCTTCGTGTAGTTTCCGGATCAATGCCTCCGTGACATGGTGTTTTGCCGGCAGTAGCACTTGGTGCTTACCGTCGTATGGTATCGCCGAGTATTTCAGCCGACCGCCCACTCTGATGAGTCCGTCCAGTCCGATGAACGGTGCTAAGTTGGATAGACCGTGCCGTTTGCTTGATTCAGCTTTCAGCCCTTTCAGTAGATCACCGAACACTTCCTTTTGAAGGACCAAGAACATTGCTCGTTCTGCACTGGTAACTTCGTTGGCGCTGATACTTGTGCCGTCACGCTTCTTGTGCAGCACGTAGTCGATGAACCTCAGGACATACGCCCAGGCACGCTGTAGTTTACGGAAATCGCTTACACGATCCAGTCTGATTCCAATGCCCTCTATAACAGTTGCTAGTACTGTCGCTGTTTTGAGTTCCGGTATTTCAAGAACCTCATCAGCTACGCCTGCTTGCAATTCCAGTTGCTGTAGATGTGGTGAACCTTTCCACCAGAGATCGTAGACCAACAAGTCTACTGGTGATGCACCTCTTGAAATCACGTCAGCAGGATTGCTCTCCGATCGGATGTAGTTCCACTGATAACCTTGAGTCAACTCCACGATTGTTGCCACCCGATTCGAGACAAATTGATTCAGTGCCGACGGTGACTTTTTGAGCCAGCACAATACGATGGAACTATCGCACCACAACTTCACAACGTCGAAATG